ATTTATACAGTATTATTATTAATAAAATTTAGAATTTAGTGTTTTGATATCGCTTTTATTTCAATAGGTATAGGATAGACTTTTATCTCAATGTTGGTATGTATTTGGTATGTTATAATTTCGGAAGAATAGGATAAGATGATTAAAACAATGTTTGCGTATACCTGCCAGGTGAGACAAGCACATGTGTTATGCTGTTAACAATTTTGTTCATCAATGAGTGTTTGTAGTTCTTATTCAATAGTAAACAAAATATTTCTTCATACCAAACAGTATCAGCATTGAACGGGTGTTTACAGGGTTTCTTTCAATATATCATATAGGTATGTTTATGTTTTTTTTTCTTTAAACTCTAATAAAATGACTGTACAGTCTGATGTTTGTTTCATTTTTATCCCCTTTGTTTATTTTTCAACCTCCACACTTTTTTGAAATGATAGCGCATGCAACATTATCAAAATTACACCAGAGTACGTTGCTGCAATAGTTTTTTTTTTAAATAAAAAAGTATTCAAAATTGTTTAATTCGGATCGCATCCATCAGGTTTTCAAATTAGTGGAGTAATAACAGTATTCTTGAAAAAATTAAATGGAAGTGAGTGGCATTTTATAATAGGAGGAATTCGTAAGCTTCTGCTCTTATCGCCAATTTTGTGAAGAGAATATTAAATTAGAGATAGCACATTATCATTATGGTTATGCACCGGGAAGGTATGTAAGCATGTATCGCCAATAAATAGATAGGAACTAATATATTCAATTCTAGATACAACATGATTCATAATTGCCAAACTGATGATCAATGCTTTATTCAGATAATTTTACAAGCCACTTGTTTTCGACGTACATACTTTTGCTTCTCATTGATAATAGATTTGAAATATTATGTCATGCGAACATTAATCAGTATAACTCACGTTTGGCTTTCTATAGGTACATACTTGTTGTTTTACACCGGAACAGCCGCGGAGGTAGAAGCCTAATTGGCAGGACCCCGCTTCGAAACAAAAAGTACTTCGATTCAGAAATAACAAAATAGGGAACATATTTTCTTGTTGGATTTGCTTAGGTTAGCACTGATAAACATTTTCTACATAAAGATAGCAGATCATATACTGTATTTCGGAATACAAAACATTATCCGAAATGAAAATAGATCCTTTAACCTCATTATTGAGAATTTGTCACAGCTTTGTTGGTCCTCTTCTTTGTATTGCCAATTTGCATGTATCCGACAAAGATAGACGATGTTTTCATGTTGCATGATCGATCATATTTAAAAGATGAATAGGTAGGTTATGTTAAAGCAGGTTAGGTGGTTTGGTGTTCCTGTCTTAAGGTATTCTACTCATAACCATTTTTTTTTCAAAACAAAAGCTCCCCACTAAAATTATTATTACGGTATCCTCAAAACCATGAAATAAAATGAAAATAAAAATAATCAGTGAAATGACCTAGCTTCACAAAATGATAATACAAATTTGTTGTGATTATGTTCCTGAAATCGTGATTTTATCAACGACGTACGTCCATCGATTACTTCAGTACAATTTATGGTATGACGTAATAGTCATCTCTCGTGATTTTGACTATAATCAAGTTCAAGCGGATAATCAAATGAAAATGGTATTTACCATTTTGGATTGGTATTTACCGACCCGTTCAAGCGAGTGTGGTTATCAGTTTGGTTATAAGATCCGTGACATCATGAATCAGCTGTTATATGTCATAGTTATCACCGCAAAATTGTGGTATTTACCCAACTCAGGAGTAGTTTTATATTTGTGGTTATTATTTGACATGTGACAAATTAGAATTTTTCCGAGTATTAGATATTTTTATTGTACTTCAGCTTCATTTTTTGGGAACTTGATACAGGCTGAATTCAGTTTTAGCAGAAGAGAGCACCTTGTTAGTTATAATCATTACTATTGTTGGGAACACTTTAAATCTAGTTCCTATGCTTAACAAAGTAACCTGTATAGCCATATACCACAAGAATATTAAAATATGGCCATATAAACTCACTGTATGATGTCCACCTGTATACAGTTTTGTTAATATCTATTTTCATCGCTTTTCCATCATTTCTGCTAGGCCAATAAATATTTTCTTTGACACGCGGAAAAGTTTAGAGAGTTGAAAGTTATCATAGCTACAAAGCCATGGTTCCATCAGTAAACATTTTTTTCTCAAAAAAAAACATTCCTCCCATTAATACTATGAAAGGTTTCTTTTTTTCAACTTTCCATACCCCGTTGTAGCCGAAAAAGCACCGATTATTAAGTGATAATAATAATAATCAGAAATTATATACGCGCTTTTCTAAAATAAACAACTTGAAACCAACCGCGGTTAAAACCAACGCGTTCAAGCGATTCGAGTATTTGACGTCATCATCCCGTGTGTCATCCTGAACCATATTATAACCACGGTACATAATACGGAAATTTTGGTTATTCGCTTGGATTTGATTAATATCTCAGTTACCAGTCGATGGTTCGTGGACAGTGATGGTACTACGGAGATCTAGAAAACAAAATGAAAACTTACATTGCCAAGACACAAAAAAGTTTTCAGTTGTTTTGTTTCGTGCAGTACACACTAAAAATTTTCAGACTGAAAATATGTGGCGCTTTTATGCTGAAATAAAGTCAATTAAAACTACCTACCATGTTGTTTAATTTCCATATGCAAAACTTAAAAGACATCCCTCGTATATGTTACGACCTTTTAAATTGAGATGTTGAATGTCTCGGGATAACCAAGATATACTTATTCTTTGTGTTCAGTTGACTAACATCTGAGTATCTGATAAATTTGGTTGATAGACACGGAGGGGCTTGTGTTGTGACTACTTTATGTGTCAAGGTCAATACGTGCATTTTTTGTAGCTCTTCTATTTCTGAACACCCAGCTCATGATATTTATGTGATACTGTCTTAAGTTTTCTCACTCCACAAACAAATCTAAGACACGCATCTTGAATAGTCTGAAGTCTCCTTATCTCAATCGATCTTAGTGCAGGCCCATAAATACAGTCACACTAGTGAATTCTAGACCATATTAATGTTTCGCACAACTTCAGCTTGAGACCAGTATTCATACTTTTTCTATGAGGAAATAATTGCTTCAAGACACCGAATCTTGTTCGGCACAGTTGACTAATATGTTTTTCAAACCTCAAATCAGAATCAGTCCAGAGTCCTAAATTCTTGCACTCATTTTTTATAGGGATCGGTTGGTCGATGGTTTGAAGAAACGCTCCCAAAGCTTCACGACAATGCCGTCATTGTACTTGATAATGCTGCATGCCACACTAGAAAACTAGAAAAAGTTCCCACAATGTCCACAAGGCAGAAATTCAACAATGGCTCCTATCAAAAGATATTGGTTTCAGTGAAAATGTGGTCAATGTGGATTCAAACAATAGAACATTCAAATTTTCTGACGTGAAAAAATGTTTTATGAAGCTGAATGGCGGGAAACAAAGTTGTGGGATCTGGATTCAAATTGAACCTGTAATAATTAATATTAACCAATCTGACGATGATTCAAGTATTTCCAGCAAATACAGAATTGTGAAAAGTATATGCACTTCTTTCTATAGAAATAATCATTTATTTTGTTAGATTATTCCAATACCATTGAGGAAAATACGGACCTGTACTATCTCGCTCTTGGACATGTTGTGTTTTCTCTGGGGGTAAATGGACTATGAATGGAATATAGAAGAAACATTTCAAAAACTGTTGATGCACACTTTATGGCACTTGGAGAAGTGAATGAGGTACGGATGTTCTTGAAATTCCCCGTTTTTATAATTTGTTTTATTCTATGGATGTTTATGCTGATACTGTTTTGACTGAAAAATTCTACCACAAAACAAATAAATACTTTTTTAAGGCTAAATTTTTAGTTCTGTGACTGACATTGCCGTAGAAAGTGTTTGTAAAATTATTAGAGGTACGACAATCTAGTACTTTTCTGGCATTAATGTGCTAGGTTTAAATGTTTAGCTGTACCATAAACTTCGAGAAACCAAATAGGTAATTATGCATGACTATAAGCATTTCCACACTTAGCAGCTGTCTTTTTATTCAGTTAGCCCGAAGTAATTCCATTTGAGGCTATGTGGGGCTGTAAAGTTGGAAGTTTTATCCGACTTTCAGTTTATACATCAAACATATACGTTATTTCATTAGAATCATTTGGATCTATAATTTTGTATTTATTTTATATTTTACGTTTTAAATGATGTCTACTAAGTAGCTCAAAACGTTAATCCGAACATAAACAAGACTTTAAAAAAAAAATCAATATCTAAGAATTTTGTACTCAATCGCTTCTTAATACACCACAAAGTACGATTCAACAGCTTTTTTAATTGTTCTTGTACTCGATGGAACAGAGGCCCTCCGGAAATATACTATTCGAGAATTTGAGACATTTTTCGGTATTTATTAATAATTAACGACTTTACTTAAAAATGACAAATGAGGGTTCTCTAGAAATAGGCAAAGTTTAGCCACGACTACTCGTACACTTAACACGTTCACTGCCCAAGCATTTGGGTATCTGACTCACCAGTACCAGTCGGAGAATTGTAGATCATTAGTGTCAAGTGTTATAAAAACTAGGTAAAATAATGTTTTTCACCACATACTCCAGTTTTTTATGCAAAAAAATAAACCGCCGCATATGTTGCGGCATGGGCACTGAACAGCAACATTTACTGCTCAGTGCCCAGTGACGCACCATTGTCGGCGGGAAATAATAAAATCACATTTTGTGATATATGCATTTATTGCACATGCAAAGTAAAACAAACATTGCATATAATTAATATAATAGCATCTTTAGCAAAGTTAAAACAATATATGACAGCATAGACACTGTAGAGAAAATAAAAAAATGCTTACAATATTCGAGAAAATAAGATAATGAACAGAAACGAAACTCTATAATATATGAAGTGAGATGACGAACAAAAATACTAATTATTTCGCAATATTTTTGTGAAAACTTTCAAAACATAATTCGAGACACAGTCCTGGTGTCTCCGGACACTTAGCACAGTAGTATTGTGAGTCTTTCCTAATACCTTGTTGTGAGCACCACCGACAACGTTTGCGAAGTTTTCTTCCGCTTTCAGCTACCTCACATTTACTAGGAAGATGAAGGTCATCACTTGTAGGTTTCGCTGTAGTACTAGTAGTTGGATCTGGCAACAATGACTCAATAACGGAGTGGCGATAATCCAAGTACGACAATTTGGGTGAGGAGAATTTATTGTACAACATAAAGGAATTGTACAACATCATTTCTATTATGTGAAGGCCTACTTTTTTATACCATCTAATGGTCTTCCGGTGTGATGGATAGTATGCCATAATTTGATCTTGCAGATCAATACCGGACATGTACTTATTATATTCCGCTATAGGTGTAGGTTTCATTTTAGTATTCCCAGAGGTAGAAGTCACTTCTTGGAGAGTATTTTCATGTTCGGTTGTGATGTACAGAACGTCCCTTTTATCCTTCCACTTCCCCACGCAAACATGTCCGCCATATCGTTGGACTGATTCACCAACCTTCAATTTGGCTTTTGATACGTCACCAGGGGTCTCTTTCCTTCCAGCCCGTAAAGTTCCTGTACAATACGTCATCCTATTGAGCAGCTGTCTAGCAAGGCGTACTGAGTTATAATAATTGTCCATGTATATACTATAACCTTTATCCAAATAATCACTTGCAAGGTGAAGAACAACATTGGCAGCATGTCCTTTTCCACCCATATCGTCAGCTGCTCCAGTGTATATTTGTAGTTTCATTATGGTCCCATTGCTCTCAGTAAGTAAGTAAAATTTCACTCCGTATTTGTGTTTTTTGTTTTTGATATATTGGCGAAATAAAAGTCGCCCGCGCCACAAAAGCATAGATTCGTCTATTGACAAGTTCTTTTGTGGACTATAAATGGCAAACATCTTATGGTTGAAGAAATCTACTAAATTTCGTACTTTATGTAATCTATCAGCAGGCCGTGGCTCTCCTTCTTGTGGATTGTGGGCAAAATGCAAACATCGTAAAACAACTAAGAATCTATTTCTGCTCATATAATTTCGGAATGCTAAATTATAGAAACGATCTGTTCTTCAATAGTCTCTAAGCCTTGGTACCTGAATAATCCCCATAAGGAATATGAGCCCCAGAAATCTTGAAATTTCTTGCTTATCCACCGGTTTCCAGCGACTTATTCGTGAATGTGGTCCAGGGTTTCGATCATTTAGGAATACTAGTTCAGCATAATCATTTGTTTGGCTAATCAGCAAATCAAAAAACTCGTCGTCTGCCAGGAGCTTGAAAAAGTCAATGGGCTTGCCCTCACCTGGTATTCCAACCTTCAGTTCTTGGCGCCCAGTAAATGGAATTTTTTTGAGGTTAGGAGGATTTTCTAACCAGTTCACAATTGTTTCTAACGGCACTTCTTCCTCCATTTGTTCCGGATCACCCTCTTCCAAATCACTAACTACTTGCCCAGGCTGATCATCATTTTCAGCAATGGCTCGCTCTGCATCTTCAGCTCCGCTCCAGTCACTGTCTGATTCTTGGTAAGGTTCTTCCTCAGAGTCAGAGTAGAACATCAAACTCAACATTTCATCCTCTGTTAGTCTCTTTGGATCCCTAATCGTTGGCCGTTTTGGTCTAGACGGCCCTGGAATAGGATTATCCGCCATTTCTTTCAACACAGCGAGTAAACTACATACACAACATGCAAACACCCGACCACAGATGAGAGATACTTTTCATAACCTTAACAGCGTGCCCCTTCCGTAAACAAAGCTCAACTGCAGTACCCACCCAGCTACGTAGCATTTAATAGAGTTACCTCGTCGCCGACAGCGTGTCGGCGCGGGCACTGCTATGATAAGGCCCACGCCGACACAGTGTCGGCATGGGCAGTGAACATGTTAACCTGTTTCAGGACGAATGTTCGACGTAACAAAAGGAATATATATAACCTTAAAGAATTATGGAACACAGCAAACATCCAACAAGACGCCTATAAGAAAAAATAAAGTCGATGCTGGATTACAAAAGACGAAACGTTATATTGAAGTTCCAATAAACCCATCTTGTAGCGGAGAATAAGGCAATCTTAATGTACAATTTATTTTGAAATCTCACTACAAATAAAGCCAGGGAAAAATTTAAACGATTGTGGGAATTCTGTGTTTTCCGTCTCTCTCTGGAAGTACTTTGAATTTCGAAACTTTCTAAGCGGCATTTTGTTGATTGCCCCCATTAGTGCGACTTCGTATGTCTTACAGTTCCCGATATCCCAATGGTGGGGGTCGAATTTGAAACGCCCTGTATATGCATTCATAAATAACGACGGTTAAATGTGTTTGCTTCCGTCTCCAGGGCTACTATACCCATACCACGCCGATGAGTTGCTAAAGAGTACAAAACAGCGCTGTCTGTTTTTTGGTCATGGTTGTAGAGACAGAAAGCAACCGTACATTTCAACCTCTTCCTTCGTGTCTTGGTTTCCATCCAGTCTCCCTCTTGGGGTCCTCTGGATGTCATAGACTCTACAACATCTTGCTTTCAACTTCTTGGAGGTCTACCCCGTTTGCGACGCTCTAGTGGTACCCACTCATAGACTATTTTTGGCCTTGTTGTGTTATTTATACGTTGAAGGTGACCATGCCAAAGTAATCTTTTTGTTTCAATCGTTTCTAAGATGTTGTAGTCTACTTCCATAATTTGTCTGATTCTTTTGTTCCTAACATGTTCTAGTCTGGAGATTCGGCAGCTGCTTCTCCAGTAATCCCTTTTAAGGGACATCAACCTCTCTTTATGTCTTTTCGTCATCTCCCATATTTCTGAGCCATAGGTACAGATACTTTCTACTATAGCTTTGAATATCAATTTATTTAATTTGTTTTTCACTCTAGTACTCCATAGAATAGAATTTAGGTGTCTAATTGGTCTCTTACCCTGTGCTAATTTATTTGAAATGACTTGGTTGCTCTTGTCTTTCACCGTAAACGTTAAACCCAGATATTTGAATGATGTTGTGTTCTGTACGCTATGGCTTCTATCATCCAAATCTCGTTTATTTTTACATCAATTGTCAATCCCCATATGTATTACAGCTCCCGAGGTCCCAATAGTGAGGGTCGAATATGAAGCATCCTGTATATGCATTCATAAATAAATACGGTTAAACGTCTTTACTTCGTCACTGTAACCATGACCAACCGTAGTCTGTCTCCAGGGCTACTATACCCATACCGCACTGGTGAGTTGCTAAAGAGCACAAAACAGCGCTGCAGGTTTTTGGTCGTGGTTGTAGAGACAGAAAGCAACCGGGCATTTCAACCTCTTCCTACGTGACTTGGCTTCCATGAGAGAATGACTTTATCCATTGCCAATGTCTTGGAATTATATATACTCGTATATATATATATCTATATATATACAGGGTGACTTTGAAGTTGAGTCATTAATTTTCAGATAATGATTGTAGAAGGAATATAAACCAAAATATGTGTGTAAAAATAAAAAAAAATAAAAAAAAAATTTTACCTTGTTTTATAAAGTATCCTCCCGACAAGTATTTCAGTGCGGACCTGTATTTGATCGTGAGGTCTTGGAGCACCGGCATGCCGTCCCCTGTGAGGTCTTAAGTCACCTGATTCACGAGCCCGTTGGACTACATTAACAAAGGCACGAGGGGTTGGTTGCACTCGATTGGGAAACCGATCCGCATAAACATGTGCCATTTTTTATTTCGTTTGAGCCACGCAACAGACACCACTATTCACTCACGCGTTACCGACTGACACTGACTGTATACAACTGAATAAAATAATTGTAAAAACATCGTTTCAAATTCTTTCGCTTTTTTGTTTCCGATGCGATGAACCGATAGGGCGGATTATATCCGTTGTTGCCAAACACGAGTACATAATATTATTATTGAGACAGGGCGGTACTCAAACTTCCCAAGGGCTATAACTTTGTTACTTTAATTTTACCAGAAAAATGGTAAAGGAAAAAAAACATTTCTCTAGATCAGATCTACTCACTGTTAAAATAAATGACTCAACCTCGAAGTCACCCTGTATATATATATATATAAGAAAAAGTAGGAAAATACTCCATGACCGCTCGGGTTACCTATCCTATTTTCTGCTCGAATCCACTTTCCTCGTTTTTGCGGATTTTGCCCATTATTTTCCTACTTTTTCTTATATACCTTTCTCCGCATGATCATTGTCTCTTTATATACAGGGTGTTCCATAATTATTGCGACAAAATGATAGGGGTTGTAGAGGGCATCAAAATGAACAATTTTTCCTTATAAACCCCTGTTCGGAAACATGCCGTTTGGGCTGCAGCAAAAAAAAAAGATCAGTTTCTTGAAACAGCTTACCTACAGTAATTGCTCAAAGTGTCCTCCACCTTGCTCAATACACACCTGTGCACGATTGTTCAATGATCGGCGAAATCTGTGGCATACCCCCGGTATGTCCTGAACATGTGCGGACGCGGCCATCACTCTTCCCAGTAGCTCTTGTTGGTTGGGAACAGGAGTTTCGTACACTAAAGCTTTCAGATAGCTCCAGATAAAATAATCCAGTGGAGTCAGGTCAAGTGACCGCGCAGGCCAAGGCACAGGGCCACCTCGGCCTATCCACCTATTTGGAAATTTGTCGTCCAAATACTGCCGCACTTGTAAAGAAAAGTGGGCTGGACCGCCATGGTGTTGAAACCACATGTTGGCTCTTATATTCAGTGGCACATTTTCTAATAGTTCCGGTAGCACATGCTGTAAGGATCGACCATAAGCATGCCCATCCAAACGTGGTGGAAGCAGATATGGCCCGATGATATGCTCGTCCACAATGCCGCACCAGATGTTAATTGAAAACTGATGTTGGTCTCTATGGATGGCTATGGCATGAGGGTTTTCTTCATCCCAAATGTGACTGTTACGGCTATTAAAATAACCGTCCTTTGTGAAACAGGACTCGTCAGTGAACAAAACGTAGCGACCAAAGTTTGGTTGCCTCAACTCCTGCTGCAGCCACCAACGACAAAAACGTCGACGCGGCAGATAGTCTGCTGGACCCATGGCTTGGACTTTTAAAAGGTGGTACGGGTGTACGATAACAAAAATGTAAACACAGCAGGCTTTTTCTACAAACCGGCGAGACCATGAAATGTGCTAGTCGAACATTTTGCAGCTGGTGAATTTTTTGTTTCTCCTATGAGCTCTTAAGGTAAAATTAACTGTAGTGCTCAAACGGCATATTTACGAACAGGGGTTTATAAGGCAAAATTGCATATTTTTATGCCCTCTACAACCCCTATCATTTTGTCGCAATAATTATGGAACACCCTGTATATACGAGCCCCTCCCCAGTTCAGTTGGCCCAACTATTGAAATCTTAGTTTTTTTCTTACCAAACACAAATAATAAAAATGTAGCAGGGTGTTATAGGTTTAAAATATTAACAATGAATATTTTGATAATAATGGGTGATTTTTTTGCTAGTGTCTTTTTGGCATCACTGTTTTTGACAGATGACGCGTGAATCGTGTCTTGTTTCATTGTCAAACTTGTTCAGTTTGTCTATAATTTAACCATGAATCGACTTACGAACGAACAACGCTTGCAAATTATTGAATTTTACTATCAAAATTCATGCTCGGCTAAGAGAGTGCATCGAGCACTGCTTCCAATTTATGGGGAATTTGGTCGGCCTACTGAGGGAGCTATTCGGAAGCTTGTGACTAAATTTCGAACCCAGTTTACATTATTGGACATTTAACCACCAACACGCAGACGTCGAGTGAGGACTGAAGAAAATATTGCGGCTGTATCCGCCAGTGTTAGTGATGACCGTGAAATGTCGATTCGCCGCCGTTCGCAGCAATTGGGCCTCTGTTACTCCACTACGTGGAAAATTTTGCGACAGGATTTGGGTGTAAAACCTTATAAGATACAGCTGGTGCAAGAATTGAAGCCTTACGACCTCCCACAACGTTTCCAATTTGGTGAATGGGCGCTGGCAAAGTTGGAGGAGGATCCACATTTTTATCGAAAAATTGTGTTCAGCGACGAAGCTCATTTCTGGTTGAATGGGTACGTTAACAAGCAAAATTGCCGCATCTGGAGTGATGACCAGCCAGAAGCATTGCAAGAGGTACCAATGCATCCCGAAAAAATCACTGTTTGGTGTGGATTATGGGCCGGTGGCAACATCGGGCCGTACTTCTTCAAAGACGATAATGGCCGGAACGTAACTGTGAATGGCGAGCGCTACCGTGCAATGATAACAAACTTTTTTTTGCCCAGAATGGAAGAGCTGGACTTGGCTAACATGTGGTTTCAACAAGACGGTGCCACATGCCACACCGCACACGAAACAATGGCCCTATTGAGAGGCGAGTTCGGTGAACAGTTTATCTCACGTTTGGGGCCCATCAATTGGCCGCCTAGATCGTGTGATTTAACGCCGTTGGACTATTTCTTGTGGGGCCATGTTAAGGCTAATATCTACAGGGATAAACCAGCAACGATTGACGCACTGGAAGCCAATATTGAAGCATTTATTCGAGAGATACCGGCCGATATGTTGGAGAGAGTGTGCCAAAATTGGACCTTGCGCATGGGCCATCTAAAGCAGAGCTGCGGCCAACATTTACATGAAATAATATT